TGAGCACATTAGGCTTCTTCAGAGATGGAACCACTTACAGGACAAAGCCATCAGAGGTTTGCTGAAGATGGTCAAAGCAAGCAAGAAATCGGTTGACTCATTGAAGAAGAAAGTAAGGAAGCTCAAGAAGAAGTTGGGAGGATCTTCATCAGCCAAGAGATCTGATCAAGAGATCCAAACAGAGCCACAAGGAGGACGATCTGATGCTGAAGACATGTCTGAGGTTACACAAGAGAGGACAGTCCAAGAGAGACACTCATTCCACATCAGTGAGCGGCCAAGAACACAAGTTTCTCAACCGGCCAGGCATTCATCTCATGTAGCTGCTCCAAAGCGAAAAGGAAAAAAGAGAAGGAGTAGACAGCAAACGTCATCAGAGGAGGAAGCTTCACCTTCCCATGTCATTGAGAGTTTAGACTGTCACCACTCCTCCACCTGAAGTAAGGTACACCACACTAACCATTGTAAATACCACTCCCTTTTTTAGAATTATTACGATTGTTTGCTTGATGTTTGTGAACACTCTCCTTAGCATTTTTATTACACATGCACTGTGTAATTTAAGTGTGGAAGAGGGTGTATGATGGACTGATTCTTGCATTTGCATAGTAGAATAGGAACCATGCATCATGATTACATAGCATCTAAGACATAGAAAAAACCAAAAAAATTGAAATTTTTTCAAAAATTGCTTCACTAAAAGAGTATGATTTTCATGCATTCTTATAGGATTTAGACTTCATGCATTCATATAGGACTAACTTGCTTGTTTAAATTGGGAACTATGATAGTACATCTTTGTTAATGCTAGTGATTTATGAAAATGAAGCTCTTGTTTTTAATCCTTTGGTGCATTTGATGTTGAACTAGAAATAAAGTTGAACCAATTTTGGATTTTTCATTTGTGTGAGCTTTGTTTGAGACTGAAGCATGCTTTGAAATGATTTCAACCTTTGTTTAAGTGGAACCTAATTTGAATTCGCAATTATCATGCCTTATGTTTATGTGATTGATGTCATGGATAGTTTAAAATATTTAGATCTTCTTATTTTCTTTTGCCACTCTCTAAAAGATCCATTTAGATTTCCCCACCCTTAACTAAACCTTCTTTCAAGCCAAGGCATTAATAGTGTGTGATTTGTGAGGCCCCCTCCTTCATGGTTGTTGCTTAGCAAAAAAGTGTTGGGTTGGAACTACAAGGGAAGTAATTCCATTGTAGAACTAGCTCACTCTTGAGTTAGATAGGTTAAAAAGTTTTTGGGGGAATGGTCTGGGGTTATCTTGGGTTTAGTTTTTAAGAGAGGCAAAGAAGAAAAGAAGTCGAGGCACAAAAGAAAAAGGAGTGTAACACAAGCAAAAGGGTGGAAATGGCGATTTAAAACTCAAAGAAAGAAGGCTCATGTTCAAAGAAGAAAAGAAGATGCAGGAAGTGCAAAACCAGTAAATCAAAAAGACAAAGGCGAATCAAGCACCAGCATCACCAAATAAAGGATCCAAACTCAAAAGAAGCAAATCGCCACCACTTAAAGTTCAAAAGAAGAAGCGTCCTCCAAAGCGCTTGAAGAAGAAATTTTTTTGGGTTTTAAAAGGGTTTAAGTTCTTAAAAAGGGTAGCATAGGAGGGTCTTACATTTCTTAGCTAGAGTTAGGAACACATCTTATAGATCTTGGGTAGATGGGAGTCTTCCTTTGTATGTGTAAGTTGTTCTTTGACCCTTAGCATTTTGCCAAAGCACAACCATGCTTTTCTTTGAGAGAACCTTTTAAACATCAAAACCAGTTTGTGAAGTGGGATCATTTTCATTCCACTAAGCCTTGTCCCTTAGCTAAATGAGACTTTCGCATTTGCATAAGCATGATTCACTGTTTGAGCATAATTGAATGTTGAAAAAGTTGTTTGATTTGATGAGCATGTGTAGGTTGATAGCTTAGTGATCATTCTTGTTTTGTGAGTTTTTAAAGTATTCTTCCATCAAGTGCACTCTAGAATTAGGAACATAGACTTCATTTTGATTTATTGTTAGCATTTTCAAAGGTATGAGTTCCCATTGAAAATCTCATCACCATGTTAAGTGTTTGTTTGCTTGAGGGAAAGCAAAAGCTAAGTGTGGGGGGAGGGGGTTGATAGCTTGCTATTTTAGATCATTTTAGGCTATATTTCATGCATCATTTCCTCTGTTTTTGCATTATAGTTCAGCATTTAGGTATCATTTGTACTTAGAATCAACATAGCATGCATTTAGCTTAGGATTGCATACATTTGCTTACATGTGCATGTTTGTGGTTGTTTTCAGGTGTTTTTGGAGTTTCTTGGAGCTGGGGAAGGGATGGAAGCAGCTCATGATCAAAGAAGATTTCAAAAATGGAGTTCTTGCAAAGTCTGGTCCATATCAAGGTCGCATATCGAGCAGAACACTCGTGGAGTGTGATCGATGCAAGCAGCAGGATGAGAGGAAAAGGATCAGCACGAGAATTTCAAGCCGTTGGTCTGCATCGAGGACCAGCATCGAGGAAGGATGTCGATACGCGCTACACGGACCATATCGAAGTCGCATATCGAGCAGAACATCAACTGTATGACTTCGATGCAACTCATCCGCGTTGACCATTTGACTTTGTTAACCATATCTTATATTTTTAGGTTTTTTATGCTTCTTTTGGGTCCCCACTATAAAAAGAAAGTCACAAAACATTATTTTTATCATGTTTTATCTTATCCAAGTTTAGCTTTCAATAAAAAAACCTTTCATAAACCTTAAAGGGTGATTTGCCTTAAGGATCTTTATATTTAAAAAAGTTTACATTTTTATGGTTTAATCTTGTCTTCTAATCTTTGTTCTTGCATCTTGATAGCTTAGATTTATCATCTTTTGCATTTTAAACTCATCTAGTTATGTTTAACTCAAAATCAATGTGATTAAACATGATTAGTGAGTAGTCTTCTTTAGATTTAGTGTTCTAAATAGGGATAGTGGTGATTAAGATATGATTAAGGGGTGATTAGGTCTGTTTAATGGTTTTCTGTTATCTCCTTCTCTTGCAAAGTGATTAATGTTGATAAAAATTGCTCCTTTTGATTGAATATGGTTTGATAGATGCATATGGTTTGCTTGATGTCTTGAAATCTCTTCTCTAAGTACAGTTCACTTATTTGGCCTGATAGTCTAGCTTAGTCTATGTTTCCTTTGTTCAGTGACACCAAAGTGATAGTTCACCTTGCTAGATGATTCGCTTAGGGCTAGATAATGCTGGTTTTGAGATTCTTGACTTGATGGTTAGATAGTATGCATTAAAAGATCTTGCTTTTGCTTCATTCTTGTTCATTGCTTAGCTTTCTTAGGATGTTGCAAGTCTGTGCTTAAATCCATAATCTTGATTGGTGTATAGCTGCCTAGGTCCTTATTGGTTCCCAAGATTGATAAGTTGATATGAATTCTTGCTTGGGTGAGAGTGTAGTTGCTTGATTGGAGCATCTCTTAGGCTAGAATGGTTCTGATCTTTATGCTCATGGTTGAAGGATACGCCATCACTAGTGGGTCTCACACTTCAATCTTATTGAATATGAATTGCTTATTGACGCCAAGTGGTTCCCTTTATAAACCTTGTCTAGGAGCATAACATTGAGAATTGCTTGCTTGATTAATGCTTGTTGAGTGCCTTAGTAAAATCCCTTTATCACTCTTGAAAACCAGAATTCCATAATTGCTTAGAACCTTGAGTCTTGCTTTTAATTAATTGTCTTCAAAGTCATCTTGCTTAGTTCTTGCTTTACTAGTCACTTCTTCCTTAGTTCTTGTTTAGTCATTGCTTTTCTTTCATTGCACCATTAAGTTGTTAAACTTGTTCTTACATAATCAAATCCCAATCTTGTTTAGCTTACAGCATTGTTTGCATCTCATCTTCCACAATTGGATTGATACATGATCTCTATTCTACAATTGATTAGAAGCTAAGGGAATTTGATCTAGTGATCAAAAACTGCTGTTTCATGAAGGCAAAGTGAAGATTTAATACATTACATATATAAGCTAATAGACAGTAGTGTACACCTTCTTATAGACACATTGATATGAATACACCGCATGGATACAATTTCATAGATACAATTTCATGGATACTTATGTACATAAGCTACTAGACAGTAGTGAACACTTTCTTATAGACATGATTGATGGATACAAAGGCAGCATGAACTTCCAGCGTAATCAGGCAACATGGACATACAGTATGGACATACATCATAGACATGCAACATGGAAAGACATCATGTACGCGAGAAAAATCACTCAAGAGGTTCATGGAAGACATCTCCTAGATGTTACCTAGTACCACATAGTTTGCTGCCCCTATGGACAACTGCCAATGGGTGATTAAGAGGGCCGCGCTTATGATGTCCAATAAACACATGATCTCTTTTGGACATCTTACAATGGACAACTAGTTTTGTCCACTTACACTCCATGGACACCATATACTAAAAAGCCAATCAACAGATTCATGGACGACATATAATGATACTACTTTTGTATCACATAGATTATATTTTCATTCTGCCATGGACGACCATTAGTGGTTGATTAAGATGTCCGCATGATTTAAACATATTCTTGGGTGTGAAGTACAAGAAAATGAAAGATGCGAAGAAATAATTTCTTTCTTCAATCTTATACTAGAGTGGGTGGTTTTGCTTTTCTTCTCAAAATCTACACACTTTTGTCTTTATTTCTCCCTTATGTTGGAGATGTTTTGCATAAACAACATCGACAATATCTAATGGCGGTAATTCTCGCTAAAGTTCAATTTCAACGAGAGTTTGAACAATTTAGGATTTCCAATCCACCTGGTTTGTCTTTGACCTAACTACAGATCGGCAGTAGCAATGCTCATTTACTACAGATCGGCTAACATGATGATTGATTTAAGGTTTTGATTTACTATGTTGCAGTTTTAATCTCATCAGTGAAAGTTGATAAAGTTTCTTGTTTCTGACAGGATATTTGATAACGCAACTCTATCTTCTATTACATTTAATAAATACAATTCACTTTAAACAGAAAAATATTAATGAATGGGTAATTAAGTCTTTTCGCATTTTCAAAATGACTAAGTCCCCGTAAGTGATTTATAATCTTGTTATCACTTATATTATAATTATTTATTGTATAAATCACTCGGCATCAAATAATACATTAATAAAGATTAGCTGATAGATATGTATTTTGACCGTGCATAGCTTAGATTCAAGCATTTAATTTAAGAATGGCTGCTCATCGTCGGTGACTGGGACACGTGGATACTCAATGAGGAAGTTCTCAGCGAGTCCACCGCCGATCAAAGGTCCAACCCAATATACCCATTAGTCAGTCCAATTTCCAGAGACCAAAGCAGGACCAAAGGACCTGGCTGGGTTCATGGAGGCTCCGGAGAAAGCGCCGCCTGCAAGGATGTTGGCTCCAACGACGAATCCCGTGAGGAGTGGGCCCAACCCATCAAGAGAGCTTTTCTTGGGATCCACAATTGTGGCATAAACAGTGAAGAGAAGTGAGAATGTCAATAAGATTTCCCATATAATCCCTTGAGTGTAACTCACTCCACTTGCCAACGTGTGAACCGGAGTTCCCTAATCACAAAGCGTAATTGTGTAATATCAAAAACTATGAAGCATGATTAGATGTAGAAATATTTTTTTTTATTTTAAAACTTGTGTATTTTATTTTGTAAATCTTATTTGAATGGAGATAGAAGTATATACCAAAGTCTTTATAGAATATACCAGTGTTGAATTATTTTGGTTTCTAGTGTGAATTGAAAGTCAACTAAATTAGGGAACGAATAGAATCATGTGAAAGTATCAATTATTCGATCATACATACATTTTCCATCCGAACATGTTTTTTAGAGTTTTAATAGTGTTATAATATATTAATAGCGATTAATTAAATTTTCTATTATTAAATTAGATTATTTACCATTCCTCCGGTGAGGTAACTGAGGAGGAAGCAGGCTGCGGAGGAGGCCAACAATTGATCAATCCAATACAGAAATGCACGGAAGATGCTGATGTGCCCGCCCATAAGTAGGCCTAGGGTGACGGCGGGGTTGAGGTGGCCACCGGAGATATGGCCGGCAGATATCATTACTGCCACCACAAATGCATGAGCTACCGCGACCGCGAAAAGCCCCACCAATGTGTTTCCGACTAAACTGTCTATATAATCATAAATAAAACATAAACAACAAAAGTATTATTGATTAAAATGCAGCATGGTTTCATGTACCAGTTTAAAGTAACTTAGATCCATTGCTATGCTTTACTTGTACCAATTTATATTAGTAGGACCAAACTGTAACAAAGAGCATGAATGTGACACAAACAAGAGAAAACGATTTACCAGTGGCCATGGCCGATCCGACGCCAGCGAAGACAAAGAAAAAGGTGGTGATAAATTCGACAATGAGGGCTTTGATACATTCCGGCTGAGCTGCCTCGCCATGGTTCCGTAAGTCGATCTTCCTCATGGTGTAGAACAAACTAAAAACTTTTAAACTACAAAGAAATATATATATATATTAGGATCGTTCTAGTTGATTTAGTGCGTAATACATCGAAGCTACTTATAATGATGTCAAATAAAATAAAAAGAGAAATGACAAGAAAATGTAAGGGAGCACATGGAATAAAATTATTTTTTGTATGATGATGATAGATGATTGATTTGAGCTCGAAAGTTGACTTGTATAATGTTCTTTGGTAAGATATGAGATACACTACTTTCTTTAAACTCTGATTGGTGTCCTTAAAGGGTGGTAAAGATTATATCCTTTCACAATTAAAGAAAAAAGATTTATATATTTTATTTAGTAGTATTTCAAATAGTTGAAAACTTAATCAACTGATTATTGTTTGGGTGGATTTCTTTACTTTTTTAGATATTCATTTAATAAAATTACTATTTTTATATTTTAATTATAAAAAACTCATATGAAAAATTATAAATGTTTTCGGAAATTTGATTAAGTATCGGCATGGTACTTTTTGCGGGGACAATCAGATAGTTTATAAACTCTTCAACCAGGGGCGGAGCAAGTAAGGTGGAAGGGGTCAGCTGACCCCATTTAATTAAAAAATTATTTATTTATTTTGCTTAATATTATTACTGTCCTTATTAATTTTTTTATAACTAACCCCATAAATAAATAAAAAAAATTATTAAAGACAAAATATAATTAAATTAAATAACTAATTTTATATTGGTTTTGAACTTAGTTAAGCCCATTTTACAAAAATAATTTATCGTTTTAAAAATTTGAACTAATTATTAGTTAATAAAGCACTAAAAACAAAACAAATAACTCAACATATCTTTTTCTTTTCATCATTATAATTTTTTACATGTGATTTTTTTTTTATTGTTCTAAAATTCTTGGGAATCTTGCATATATGATCCTAAACTCGAAGTCAATTCCTAAAGTAACCTCTCATTTCACTATTTTTATAATTAACCATTTTCTCTCAATTATATCCTTATCAGCTCTATTTATTCATGAAAATGCTATTAGATTAGTTTTTATTATTATTTCAGAAATCCAATTTTACCAAATAATCCTTATCTTCCTCATTTATTCACGAAAACGCCGTCACCATCAATTCACTCAACCACCATTTTTAATCAATTTGAAACTTATATTGCTTCAACAACCCATTTTCTGCTTTGTAAGCTCATTTCATCTACCTTTAACCTTTAATTCTTCAATTTTCTCTATTTTCAGCATAAAAACTCTCTAATCTAACTTCTCAAAACTTGGTGTTCTAAGATATTTGCCTTATTTGGTGATTTGGTCTGCCAAATCGATTGGACTTGTTAGGTGGTGGCTATAATCGAAGAAATCGGTAGTTGAAGAAGCCAAATACCACTGGTACGTGATTTTCAGTAAATTTTCATGAGTTTTCAGATATGTGCCGTGAAAGTAGACTTCTTAAGAAGTTTACTTTCGGTAGTAGACTTCAGAAGAAGTCTGCTGGTCAACACACATGTTTGTTTTGCGATTGACTGTGTGTACAAATTTATGACAGTAGACTTCGGTTGAAGTTTACGCCATTTTCTTTGATAAAAAAAGGTGTAGACTTCAAAAGAAGTCTACGTAAAAAGGAGTTAGTTTTGCAATGGACCAACCTTTGACTTTTTTTTTAAGAAGTCTACTCGCAAAAAGTAGACTTCTTCCGAGAAGTCTACATTCAAAGTAGACTTCTTAGAGGTTAGTTTTGCAATTGCCAATGTTGACTTTTCCGAGTAGAATTCGTTTGAAGTCTACTCGAAAATTAATTCAATATTTGGTCAACCCCAAAACTAACTCAAGTAGACTTTAAGCAAAGTCTACTTTGAAAAGTCAACATTGGTCAGTTGCGAAACTAACCTCCAAGAAGTCTACTTTGAAAGTAGACTTCTCGGAAGAAGTCTATTCTGAAGAAGTCAAAATTTGGTCAATTGCAAAACTAACCTTTTTTTACGTAGACTTCTTTGAAGAAGTCTACTCATCTTTTGGCAATTGTAAAAGTAACCTAAACTTTAGACTTTGTTGCGAGTCTACTTTTGTAAACTTCGTTGTTAGTTTACTATTTCACTTTTTTTTTTTATAAACGTGTTTTTATCAAATTTACAACAAATTTTTAAAATTTCCTTGGTCCTACGATTGTTTTAGTAAGTGTACTTACATCTGTATCAGTTTTACATGTTTATATTATGTATATCTGGTGAAAACAAGTTTCTTGTTTTATTTGTTATTTAGCTTATTAGTCCGTAGACTTTGTTTGCAGTCTGCGACATTAATTTCTTTTTATAAAATTAATTGATCAGATATTTGTAACAAATAATAATTTTTCTTTGACTCTTTAGTGTGTGTTATTTATTGTTCTTAATTATTTAGGAGTTTGACATGTTTGTTTGTTATAGTTTAGCTTTAATTAATTTTTTTGTTCTATTTGGTATTTAGCTTATTAGTCCGTAAACTTCACTTGAAGTCTACATAGTAAACTTCACTTGAAGTCTACATAGTAAACTTCGTTTGCAGTATACGTCATTAATTTTTTATAAATTTAATTGATCAGATATTTGTAACAAATAAAATTTATTATTTGACTCTTAAGTGTGTGATATTTACTGTTCTTGCTTATGTAGGAGATTGAATTTTTTTTTGTTACAGCTTAGCTAAAATTAAGTTTCTTCTTTTATTTGGTATTTAGCTTATTAGTCCGCAGACTTCATTTAAAGTCTACATAGTAGAATTCGTTTGCAGTCTACTTTTTCGACAATGATTTCTAATGTGGTTTGAATTTTGTTTTCTTACATAGAATGGGTGAAGAAAGACTTGTTGTGGCATTTCTAAGTAGTTTTACATGTTTTTTTGTGTAGTTAAAATTGAATTAATTTTCTTGTGTTATTAGAGGTTCAAAGATGGTGATGACTAAGTAAGATGTCAAGGAAGAAGTTTGGTGATGACCATATGTTATGTAATATAAGTATTCTTGCGAATTCTGCTAGAGAAGTCTAATCGAGAAGTCTACATATAAAGTCTGACAAAGAAGTCTGCATATGAAATCTGAATAAGATATACACATATATTTAAGAATATGATAAATAAACATTCGGGGCAATCCAACATTATATATAAAGTAGATCTTCTAAACAAACAAACATTTAAGGACCACTTATTATAAATCTTAAAATTGGTGTATAAAAACAAAATGTCTAGATGTATGTGATTGAAATCTGCTCGAGAAGTCTGCTCGAGAAGTCTACTTAAGAAGTCTGCGGCTGAAGTTTGCTTACAACAAAACTAAAAGAGAAATAAATAAGCTCAGATCTGCACAATAAGAAAAATGTTAAAATTCAGATTTCAACAAAATCTGCTATATTTACAAACACCATATCTGTAAAAAAAAAAAAAAATAATCAGCTATGCAACAAAAAAATTTCCAGATGTGCAACAAAAAAAACAAAATAAGATTTGCAAAAAAACAAAATTCAGATCTGCAAAAAAAAAATTCATATCTGCAACAACAAAAAATTAGATCTGCAACAAATTCTACAAAATTTATACAACAATAAGCGCATATTTGCAAAACTAAACTCAGATTTATAACAATAAGCTCAAATATCTAATAATAAACTCATATTTACAATATGAACACAAAGCAAACAACAAAATAAACACTAAACCTCAGATTTGCTTACCATCACCATAATCGAGATAGAGAGGATGGAGGATGGAGATGAGATTGATGGCAAGAGAGGAAGGAGAAGAGATTCATGGCCAGAGAGGAGGTAGAGGAGAGATAAGCGTTTATTAGAGGGAGAGAAAAACTTTATTTTTTCACACAATTATGTTAAATTCTCCTTATACATATAGGAAAATTTTTGGTTAAGTAGACTTCTAAGAAGTCTAGTGGAGAAGTTTACTCGAAAAGTCTACTTCAATATGTTTTTCGATTTTGATTCCCGCCCAATTTGTTAAATAATTTTGATTTCCCGCTAGGCTTTTTTAAGTCTACTTGAGAATTATACTGTAGAAGTCGACTGGAGAAGTCTACCCGAGAGGTCTACTGCATAAGTTTGTTTACCCTAAACCCTAAATCAAATATTTTTTGAATTAAACTTGTATCCAAACATTAATTTTCTTGCCATTTTCACATTTTAAAGTTCAAATAACAATGATATGGACTCTAAGTCATTAACCAAACCATAAACTATTACCCTAATAATACCCTAAACTTTACATCTCAAACCATATTCCTTTTCAACCTTATAATTGTGAAACTATAAATTAATTTTTTTTCATGAAATTTTATTTAATATAGATGCCAATTGTCTATGTTTTGGTTATATTTATAATTTTTTTATCATAATATTTTTTTATAATTTTAATAAATAAAATCTAAGATTTAGTTATCTAGTAGACTTCTAAGGGGTTGTGCGGTTTTCTAATTAATTTTTTTTTTCTACATTTAAATTGATTTATTTGTATAAAATTTTGTATTCTATACATGGCAAATATATATGTCTTACTTATGTTTACCAATCTTTTAGAAATTTATTTATTTTATATTTCCGAATTAACGTTTTAAAGCTAATTATGTAGTAGACTTCTTCTGAAGTCTACTTATGCAGACTTTTTTAACAGTCTACAAAAGTAAACTTCTTTAGAAGTCTAAAATAGTAGACTTCTTACGTAGACTTCTCTGAGATAAAATCGTAACTGTAGCAGACGTTTTTTGTTTACTCATAAAGAAATTGAGCTGTAATTTCACTACACATTTAGGTTAGTGTTGCCAACATTCAATAGATTTCTTAAAAAATCCAATTTTTAGGTTATTTTTGGTAATTCCCCCTTAAAAAAAAGTAAAACATCTCACATAATCACTTATTCAAATTAATTTTCTTAATGTTTTTTAAATTTACTTTAATTTTTTTAGATTATAATTTTTATTAAATTTGATACGATATTATATGATTATCTTCTTCTATTCACTATCTTCCTTTGATCTTCAAGAGGTGCAATTCCTTTCAACATATTTGTCTTCAACAAGGACTCATGAGCATGAGGATTATACAGAAATTTTTCATCCACATCAAACAACACATTTTCCTTCTTTTTGAATGTTGT